ATATAAATAAACCTGTGATTATTCTGGTTTACCTATCTAACCTATCTTTAAAAAAAAAAAAGCACTGAGATTTTTGATCCTGCCAAGAATAAAATTCAGGAGAAACACTGAAAGCCTGTTTTTATTTTATTTATTTTTCTGCTTGCTGGCACACTGGCACGGTCTAATTCATCTTGAAAAAAAAACGTATCTGTGTGGTAGTAATTCTTATTGATTTGGATAGGAAAATCTCACAGCCCAAGTGGCCAGTAACTGGTAATGTGAGAACAGTGCAGGTTTTTTTTATTTTGGCTGGCATGCCACCTCAGGTCCCGAGCACTAAATCAATGATGGTGCTGCTGTCCATTTGCTCCACTCTGTTCCAAATCACTCTGAGTCCATCTTTCAGCTGAAATCCCCGCTGAGATGCGCTGTTATGCAAGAGGTTACATTTGGGGATTAGCACATCATTTTCAAGGGTAGACATCAAGAATCCAATGGCGTTTATAGGTCACAAATCCCATGCAGTTGTTACGTGTTATACATGCAACAAAAGGATGATACGCTTGTATGTGCTATTCTCTGTGTCTTTTGTTGTGTCTAGCTTAGAGTCATTGACATTAGGGCTGCTCCCAGTGGTGGAATGTAACTCAAGTACTTTATTTAAGTACAAATTTGAGTATTTCCATTTCATGCAACTTTCTTACTTCTACTCCACGACATCTCAAAGGCAAATATTTTACTACAATTAGTGACAGATTTAGATTTAATCTATTAATTGCCAGCAAACTGCGAAATGGCCATCACAGCTTGATGATCTTCAAAGGTTTTATTCAACCAAACACAAAAAACACAAAGTTATTCAGTTTACAACGATATGTGACAAAGGAAGGCAGCAAATCCTCTCGTTATGCAATCACGTTTTGCTATTTTTGCTTGAAATACGACTGAGACAATTTTTAGATTAGATTATTTGTCTTTCAATTGATTATGAATTAACTGATCTTTTGAGCTCTACTTAATATTAATCACACCATAAAATGATTCAAACCTGATGTAATAATAACAACCAAAAAAAGCTTGTAAAGGACATTTCACACTGGTTTTTGCAGGGCAAATAAGAAATAAGAAAAATTCAACACATTAAATGAATGTGTTGTGTTTCCAACTTTAGGCTTAAATTCCATGCACCACAAAGGAAAATCCAGCAGGTTTTTATTTAATTTAATTAATTTTTTTTAGTATCGTATTAAGTATTTTCAGCATCCTTCAGTATAACAAATATCAAATCAAACACCAACAAAACATCTTTTCATGTTGTCTTTTTTATGTTATTTCTAAGTTCAGTGTAGTTTTTCTTCACCGGCAGATGTCTGAATTCTATATATATATATATATATATACATATATATATATATTCACATTACTTATCTGGTAATTTTAGTGCTTAAGGTTCAAACAGGTTCTCAATACCGTTAATTCTTCTGCACATGATTGTCTGTTGTCTGATTGTTTTGGATTTTGTTTCATATTTATTTCTGTACGATCTTTGTGTCTCATGTTCTGCAATGCATGGACATGTATGTGTGTGTGTGCGCGCGTGTGTGTGTGTGTGTGTGAGTCTGACTGTTGCATAAGAGGATCTGCTGCTGTCCCAGAGCTTAACTAAGGATTTAAACCTCTCTTTCTCACTCTCTCTTGCACTCTCTCTCTCTTCCTGTGTCGTCTGTCTTTCTAGCTCTCTCTCTCTCTCTCTCTGTTGCACTCTCTCTAATCTCTGTAGCTGCATGTATATTGTAGGGGGGGTGATGTCATTATTTGTTGAATAAGTCTGTGCGTATGCAGATCGTATGTTTGCTTATCTAGTAATGTTTGAGCAGGAAAATGTCTTTCTGTTCTGTGTGCATATGAAGTTCCCAGAATAAATTAGCCTCCATTTTAATGACTCCTGCTCACACAACTCAAAATTACATGTAATTCAAGCTGTTTGCTAATTACAGCATAATAAACAAGTAGTTGTGATGAATTCATTAATTTCTATTGTATGTAATTATGTCATGTATATAGAGGATTAATGAATTATAACACAAGTAGTGTATATCTCATACTGACATCATTCCTTCTTTCAGTAGCTTCACTTCCCCTCCAGTTATCCTTCAACAACTTGCCTTGTGTTTTGGCAACTCTTAACATCCCCATGAGTATAACAAAAGATATCGATTCTCACCATTTTACAGTCTGTCGACGCAGAGAGGACTGGGCTCACTGGTGATCTAAAAATAAGAGGTTTGGATGAGACTCCACAAGCTTTACTTTGTCCAACATGCAATGCTGCAAATTTGCTGGCTGCAAACTCAGCACAAACAGCACAAGAACATTTTGTGAAGGAAGCTGTTGGGGAAGGATTTGACTGCTTTATATTTTATACATTTTGTATTCTTTAAAGGTATCACGCAGCCCTAAACCTTTTTTATTGCTGCTGTGGTTAATAATAACATAATATTCACAATGATTACAACAAACACAAAGTTAATGTTATACCTTATTAACCTCTGTATGAAAATGATCTGTTCTCGCACACAATGTTATCTGTATCCCGGTGAATGAAGCAACTCACTGCACACCTGTGGCTTCATCAGTTATATTGACTTAATCATGTTCCACTTTTAAAATTTGACAACTGGAAGTTGGCATCAGTCCCCATAAGCCACGGGTTGCCTTCGACCTCATTTTTGCCTGTTCGGTGTCTCTATTTTCATCATTTAACAGGCAAGTTTGACCACAGGGCCAATGTTTCGCTACCATACCGGTCTCTCACTATGTACCAGTGCTGGAAATGTGGCACTACTAAGCAGGGATGCAACTAATGATTATTTTTATTAATTTTTAGGGCTGCAAAAATATAGTAAAATATGATTCACATTTAGTGGGAATGATAATCTCTCCATCACAATTTTCATTTTTACAGAAAAAAACTATTAAAATCATGATGATGTGACATTTGTTGAGGTCTGTACCAAACAAACCCTAAAATCTGGTGAACAAGTTTTGTAGGCCAGGGTATCTCTGCAGCACTATAGTACTTTATTATAATGTTGTTTTATCACACGTTTTACCTTAAGCTTCTGTGATTTGGATATTGTGTTCGGTTGTATTGCCATTTCAATAGTATTTAGATTCATTGTTCATCCCTACTTACTTTCTAGATCAAACGATTAATTGTTTGGTCTATAAAACATCAGAAAAATTAAAAATGCACATGAACATGGCAATGATTTATTTTTTCTAGAAGTCAAAGTCAAATCATCAAGCGTCTGGTTTTGTCCAAAATCCAAAGAGAGTCAATTTACTGTAATGTAAGATTAGGAAAAGCTGCCAGTTATCCAATTCGAGAAGCTGGAACCATCAAATATTTGGCTTTTTTTGCTTGAAAAATTACCGATTAAAGGATTATGAAAATAGTTGCAGATTAATTTCTGTCCAACTGAGCACCATTACAGTTTTCTAAGTACAACTACTGTCTAATATGGCTAGGTATACATGATGTAGTTGCGGTATTCACAGCAAGATAGGCATTTGTTTCTACTCCCAACAAGAAGTAAGAAGAGGCAAATAAAAAGCAGATGTTTTGTGAAGTACAATGTGATGTTGTAAACCTGCTGGACAAGAGCTTAGATTTCTGCTAGCACCGCCAAAATCCTTTGTCCTTAAATGTGTACAGAGCCTGGCACGTATACAGGAGTTCATTTTCTTTTCCTTTCATTTTGTGCACATTTTGCATTTTGTATTACAAATTTGTAACTTTTACTCTCAAACTTGTAACTCACGCACAAAATTTGTGACTTTCGAATCCTACTGGTTGCTGGTTTAGAGTACTATATCCTTATTTATTCCAATTCAAACATCGCTATGCACACTTCATGACGCATTAATATGGTTCTGCTTCTAATAAAACATGGTAAAATGAATAAAAATTGATAATGATAATGTGACGATAATGTGAGGACAGTGGTAAAAGTGGGGATGAGGATGATGGTGGAAATAGCAATGGTATTCAGGGTAATCAGGGTAATGACGATTACACTGATTTATGTGATGATGTTGAGGATAATAATGAGGATAACGATTATGTGCTTATGGCGATAAAGGCAACAAAGAATATCGTAAATGGTATTAAAGATTATCATTATTGATTAATAAGTGAATCCATTGGTCTCTAAAATGTGAGAAATTGCAAAACACGTCCGTCACGTTTCTTAAAGCCTAAGGCGATGACCATTAGACCCAAAAATATTTAGTTTACTATCATATAAGATAAAGAAATTAGTGCAAATTCTCACAACTGACAAGCTGAACTCGGGGTAATGTTTGGGATCTTTGACTGAAAATGACTGATGATCGATTAATTGACTAACTGTTTCAGCTCCAGTATTATACTGGTGTCTATGATCCCATTTACACCTGTATTATTATCTGGGTTCCTGACTCAGATAAAGACAAACACGTTAATTCAGATGTAAATGTAAACGATCTTTAAATTTTTTTAACAAGCCTGGCGACAAGCCAGAGACAACCCCCTTCCTCAGCAAAAGAAAGAAATAACTTGTCTCACTTCGCCATTTGTTGAGAAGTCTGCCAGCTCCACCTACCTTATTTGCACATCGAGATCAGATCCAAAGGGAAGAATCGAGACGACAGCGATGCTTATAGACATCAGGCGTAAATGCAAAGCCATGTTATAAGAATTCTTTATCCAGATAACATATAAGATACAGATAGTATGTTAATACCAGGAGTAAATGGCGTCTACAGTGATGAAAATAGTGATAAAGATGGTGATGTTAGGGCTGATAATAATGCGGGTGGTGGGGAGGAGTGTAATGGTAGTGAAGATAATGACCTCTTCCATGTGCACTGGTGTGTTTGTTTGTGCTGGAGGAAAGCCCCCCTGCTGCACTCACTGTTCAGCTGTGTTATTTCTCCCTGATTCACTCTGTTTCTCTCTATCTTTGTCTCTGCAGATTGACTTGGAGCCAGAGGGGAAGGTGTACGTGGTCATTGATCTGTCCGGATCTTCCACTGAAGGTAAAACCACCACAATACGCTGTTTTACTAGCGAAACGTTAGACCACACACTGCACACACACACACACACACACACACACACACAGGCCTTGTCGTTTCAGGACAGTGTGGTATGGTGGTATGTGCTGGCGGAAAGTCCAGCATCGACATGTGCAAAGCCGATGGTAATGAGTCTGGAAAGGTGGAACTATTTAAAGAAAATAAGCTGCGTGGGTTGTCCCTCTACCAGGATATCAGCTGCTGATATCATGAACTTCATCGCAGTCTGATGTAACTTTATTTAAGAACAGGAAAGTTTTGAGTTTACGACTGAGATCCATCAGACAAACAGATCACATTAACCTACCTGACAGAAATTTAAGGAGAGACACTCCTATTGCCTCAAATTAACAGATTTTTTTTGCCACTAGGGGGCAACTGAACAAGCTTAAATAAAAGATTAAAGGACCGGTGTGTATGATTTAATTTCAGATTGCAACTACCTGAATACTGTTTTTGGTCTGTATTTAATGATCTGGGAAGAGAACGGGCTGTGAAGTGTGTCAGACAAATTATGGTGGCCACAAAATGCGAAAGTATCTATCTACAGCCATTGTTGGGTTGGTCTGTTCTGGGCTACTGTAAAAAAATGTCAATCTTCCAGGCTCCTTCTAAGCTTTTTTGCTGAAAACAGCTTCCTTCTGCAGCCGAAAAACAATGCTGAGAGCAATAAAGGGGAGCAAAAACAGTAAAATTACCGTCTGTGTTCTGCCACCTTTCTATCAGAACCAGCATTAACTGTTTCAGCAATTTGAGCTACAGTCGCTCGTCTGTTGGATCGGAACACCTTGGCTGCCAATGACCCCTGTCGCTGTCACCGCTTTTCCAACAATCTGGTCACAGCAGGCTGCTGTTTTCAGAAAACAAACTCTAAAAACCTATTGTACACTACCTGCTCATCGCCAAACCGCAGACGGACAAAGTGAGCGACTAGCTGGTGAATAAAGTGGATCATTTAGCAGCTAAAGACTCAAGATATTTCCCCTTAGGAGTTGGTAGAGACCAAAAACAGAGCTAAAAGAGGTGTGAATATTGGACTTAATTCACCAGGTGGCCAGATATATGACTCCAAATGAATGATAAATGATGTGTGAATTAGACACTGTTGTTAATATGTTAACTTAAAATATGTCAGTGTTGTGTTAACATCTTATCTGCTGCCATCAAGTGACAAAACATCAGATACTGCAGGTTTAACAACACAGTGTACATACAGTACATCCTCATTACTGCCCGTTTTTACTGCATTATAACGAGAAGCCAGAGAGTGAGATGGAAAGATTACTGTTAAAAAAAAGGCCAAACATGAAGCCTTAGGTCTTCCTGTTTTCCTAGAAAGTTACTTAACAGAATTCATAGAACATTCTCCCTCTGTCTCTTGTTCTCGGTTCCCTCCTCCTCTATTTGTTTGTATTGATTAAACATGGAAACATCCAGAATATCTCTCTCAATTATCTTTTCCGCGCAAATACACTCACTTACATGCTGCCTGATAAGAGTGATTTTCACCTGCACCTGTGTATCTTCACACCTGGTTATAAATAGAAACAGTTTTCTGCCTTCCAGTGAAAGTGTGCTGTGTGTGTGTGTGTGTGTGTGTGTGTGTGTGTGTGCGCGTGTGTGTGTCTGTGTGTCTGTGTCTGTGTGTCTCTGTCTTGTGTGTGTGTGTGTGTCTGTGTGTGTGAAGGTGCAGCAGAGAACCCCGACTATATAACACAGAGGATAGTTTCTCTGTGTAAGAGAAGCAGTAGAGAGTGAAGAGAGAGGGAGTAGATTCTTAAAATAGTAGGTGAGATTGAGCCACGGATTACACACACACACACACACACACACACACACACACACGCAGACTCAGGCGTCCGTGTCTTGCCCTCCTCATCGATGATTGGACACTCTGTTGTGACCTCACGACCCACTCTCCGCCCACTCCTGAACTTCCTCCCTGAGTTCAGCTGGCTTGAGTGCTCGTCATGTTAATGTATGCTGATAAAAACAAATGGGGTGTGTGTTTCTGTGTGTGTGTGTGTGTGTGTGTGTGTGTGTGTGTGTGTGCTGATAGGAGGGATGGAGAGATGGAGGGTGAGAACTAGAGGAAGAGGTGGTATTTTTAGCAGATTTATTTTTTTCCCCTGGTGCAATCTGTTCTCTGCAGCTTCAGAGGGAGGAGAGGGAGGACTTGTTCTTCTCCTTTTTTCTCCTCTTTCCTCCTCTCCATCCTTGTGCATCTGTTGGTCTCAGGAGGCAAATAACAATAATCTGACCTAATCTGACCATCTGCAGCCTCTTCCTTTCTTCTTCTCTAGTCCCTGCTCTCTCTTTGTTCCTCCTTTTCTGTGCCTTTAATTAATTTTTCTCCACATTCCTCAAAGCTTTAAAGATAACCTTTGTGATTGAGCTCTTGAAATGACCAGAGTAACATTTTTGGCAACCTTTGTTTCAGAAACAAGTTTATGAAGTTCTTTACAGACATACAATCAGATATTTCACAGTGCAATTAACAAACAAAACGAAAAATCAGTCAGTTTATAGAAAAAAATAACTTTTAAAATAGCCTCTAAGAGTGTAAACAAGTGTGATAAAAGTATGAAATTGTACCAGAATCATTAGGGATTCAGTGTTCAGTTGCTCTATAGTACTGCGTTTGGCATATTTCTTAAGCCCAAAGAAATATAAGTTCATCTCACTCTCCTACAAACACTTTTATATAATATTATTCTTGCTTCAGATTTATAAATATCATCTTATTTAATTTTGCATTTCTGTCGTCTCATTTCTGAAGTCATCTTCCCCGTCCTGTGAAACAAAAACAAAAACCAACTCATAGTCTTCTACCATCATCCTAAATACTTATTATGTATCTACATGCTAGAATTCGACTCGCCCAGCATCAGCTATTGTTCATAAATGTTATGTATAGAGCAACATGAACCAACCATCCAACTACCAACAGGGCACAAATGCATTTGTTTCACAAGCCATAAATGTTGGAAATGATCAAATGAATGTTACTGCAACTCAAAACATGACACAAGTATTTAAATATTAATGGAAACTAGTCTTATTAATCATTTGAGGAGCCACCTTAACTTTTGGTACTTCAACAGCCAGTTTTAAAACAGGTGAGCTTAATTAATTAATAATTGTGAAACTGTATCTACAATCTTATTAACATTATTAACATTTGAGTCGTCACATTCCTTCCAAAATCCCCCCTCACCCCCCCTTTCCTTTTAATTTTTTTTTTTTTTTTTAAATAAAAAAAAAAAAAAATATAAATTAAAAAAAAAAAAAATTTTTTCCAAAAAAAAATTTTTTTTTTTAAATTATTTTATTTTTTTTTTTTTTTTTTTTTTTTTTTTTTTTTTTTTATATTTTTTTTTTTTTAAAAAAAAAAAAAAAAAAAAAAAAAAAAAAAAAAAAAAAAAAAAAAAAACTACCCTCAAATTGTGTCTTAATTCTCAACTTCATTTCTTTAATATTCAACATTTGTCACCATTTCAAAAGCTCCAGAATCCAAATCTTAAGACATTTCAAACGTTTCAACTTTATTTCTTTCAGAAATTTTGCTTTTTCTGGTTTTATTTTTATTCACTCCGGAAAATGTATGAATGCATCTACAGTTACTCAACATTTGAGAAGCCGCTTCAACTGCAACTTCAGCTTCAGCTTCAGCTTAATTTCTTCTGACTGCTTTAACTTAATAAAGGTGCCAAACATTTTAACAACCTTGTAAACATTTGAGGAACCGCTTCTGTACAAGTTTTTGGTGTGTGTTTCTATTCAGAAATGTCTTCAGCATTTTCTAATTTGTCTTTCACCTCAATACATTTTTCAACACAAATCTAACTACAGTCTTCATTATTTATTATGGATTATTTCAGAAGCAGATGGATTACTGCCACAGTTGTATTGTTATTCTTTTTGATGTCATATTTGTTTATATCACCATCTGTAGTTCAGATTTTCCTCCACTCTGCCTTCATTGTCTGCTGGTCTTTTACATGTTTGTGTCAAATTTGAATCTGTCTGTCTGTCTGTGTGTGTGTGTGCTTATTGGACGGCCGTTCAGCAGAACCAGAGCACGTCTGTCGCCACGGCGATCGCTCTTAACCGTTGTTATGCTTCATCGCCCCTCCTTGTCAGCATGCCTGTGTGTATGTGTGTGTCCTGGACAGATGGATGATGTATTATGTAAAACAAAGTGATCCCAATAATGGCCTGTTAAGCTGTCTCTGCACACACACACACACACACACACACACACACACACACACACACACACACACACACACACACAAAGGCACACAAAAACACACACTTTCACTCACATACACTCCTACTCTCTCTCACCCTCACACACACACACACACACACACACACACACACACACAGAGTCCCTAGACAGCCTGTCTGTAATCGAACTCTGGAGAGGCTCAGCAGTAACCACATCTATAACGTACCCAGGAGAGGGATGGAGGGAGAGTGAAAGAAAGGCAAACTAGGACAGGAGCGCAGAGAGAAGGAGTGTGTGTGGGAGTGAGAGTGGAGGTGGTTCTCTTGTCTTAAGGTTACCCTCGGAAAGCATTTATGTTTCCGAGGAGATGCAGAGAGGAAGGGAACGGCTGGTTGGATGGCGCTCGCTGAGGAGGAGTATTTTAATATGCTGTCCTTCGTTTTAGTGCCCACACATGAAAGTATAAATAGCATGCACACGTACGTATGCATAGGCCTCTGGTAGGTGTGGGGTGTTTGTGAGAAAGAAGGATGGAGGAGGAGTGGGGGGAAAGGAAGATGAGAAGCCGTTGAATGATTAAACATCTCGAGCAACAAGATGCAAATGATCCTTATTTGTACAAAGTGTCTCAGGAAGTAAAATCGATGTAGCAAAAACATCCGTAGCACTGTGATACCTCGTATAAAACTGATTCAAAAACACACAAAAGTTACGAAATTTCTCGTAAAACTTGTTTGTTTATTCACTCAACAGCCACAAGTACCAACGAGAATGAGGAGCGAGTGTTTCGAGAGAGGATCGGTCCTCGCCGGCGACAGGGCGCCGTCCGAAGACGTGTCCATCAAGTCAATGGACACAAGTTCATGGCCACCTACCTGCGACAACCAACCTACTGTTCACATTGCAGAGATTTTATCTGGTAGGTGACATGCAAACACACACATACACAGATCTGTCTGACCTACCTTACCTGCTGTTCTGTTTCATTGAACCAACTTGGCTGAAATGCTGACTCCTCTGTGTGTGATCTGATAGGGGCGTGCTGGGAAAGCAGGGATACCAGTGTCAGGGTGAGTACTTTTCTCTGGCAGATTCCAATTTCTCAAGTAACACTGCACGTCATGTATTATTTAAGAACGCGAGCACAAGAGGGATTACATGTTGCTGAATGACAGCTGTGATTTGGTCGCAAGCCACCGTTCCCCAGTGGGGTAGAACGTTATTAAAAAGGCTCATGAACATTGTTTCTGTTGTACATTTTCGTCTTCAAACATCCTAAAAGTCCAGCTAGAATGTGTTACTGACCTGTTGAGGCACTTTATAACATTTACGTAGTAGTTTTCCTAACAATGTTACAAAGTGCTTTACAGAATAGAAATCAGACAGGGAAGATAAAATTAAAATATGGACAAGGAACATGAGCACAATAAGGTAATAAAACATTAAAATCAGAAAGAACAAATTAATAGGAATAAAAACATTACAAATAAAAACATATATCAAATATTTCCAAAAACTTTGAGAAGTCGAAGAAGCAAAAGACTCAGTGTGTGTGAGTTCTTTAAGCAGCGAGCTCCATAGTGTGGGGGTTCTAATAGCAAAAGCCTGAGTAACCTCCGTCTACAGAACTCCAGGGTCAAAGGGGCACATACGAGGTCAATAAATCAGAAATGTATACAGGAGCAAGGAGGCAGTTTAAGGATGTAAAAGTGAGCGGTAAAATGTGAAAATCAATTATAAATTTAGCAGGGAGCCACTGTAGGGACGCAAGCACAGCGGTGATGTGATTGTGCCTCTTTGTCCCGGGTTATTGTCACTCAGCCCAGGCTCACAATCATATTGGACGATTCTGCAGAACATGGTGTACGTCGAGCACCAACCTTCAGTGCAGACACAGGAAGTAGTGTTGTTATGTTGTATGGCAGGAGGTGCGGGTGAGGTGGATCTAATGTATTCCACCGTGTGTAAAAAAAAAGGGGCTCTCATCTGGCAAGGTGCTGCGTTGACCAAAAAAAATATGCGCAAGCGTACATTCCTGATGGATTACTTTGTAACATGAATGTCTCATTTCTGTTATTTAACTTGTGTGATCCTAACAATAAAAGATAAAATAATTGCCTCCGTAATAACTTTTCAAAGTTTTAAAATCCTGTCTGTGTGTATTATTTATGTGTTGGCTTCTTGTGAGCCTTTAAATGCGTTCATCTGTTACTCCAACTGGACTTCTTGGATCATATTTCATGTGTCATCGGTACCTTAAACAACAGGCATCCACCAACGCACCCCCCCTGCACTGTTTGAACACAGCACTTTTTCAGAAGTTGAATCAGTACTTCTACTTTTACCTGATTCTTTTTTTACACTAGTATCCGTACCACCTCTGCCTAAAAGCTCGTCTACACAGCAAACCCGAACAATATTGATGTGCTTTATATTTATTTTCTTCTGTTTCACACACATAACTACAGCGTCAGTGAGTTGAACTGCCAAACCTCAGACGACCTACACTTAATACTGTACTTGAACACATCATGTGTAGACGCAGACAGAGGACTGAACCTTTGTTAACGTGCTGCCTCTCCTCTGTAGACATTGTGTTGTCCTTTATCCACAATTTATCCTCATTCGAGTTGTCATTGATAGATACTGTAGAAATAATTCATTTGAAAACCAATGAAAGTAATCCAGGTTTTGTAGAATTATCCAATATTAATGTTTTTTCTGGCTATAATATGTAGTCATATTAAAATATTAATAATTCAGCTAGTTTTTGACTCTGGAGTATTAATCTGATACAAGCCCTCTTTTTCTTTTCTCAATTTAGCCTCTGTATTACTAATTGGTTTATGTGAATGTGAGGCTGTAACTACACAACACTCTTTTTAGGCTTCTGTAGATTTTAATTATATTGTTTAAGAAGGTTTAGAAAATTGCATTGTTACATTTTAATATTGACATTTGATGTAGGTCACATTTGACTTTAATAAGGTCAGTATTAGCACGGATATTAAATCAGCATATTGAATCGATGCATCACTCCGTGCCACCGTATTGCATCAGAATGACTGATTTCTTTTTGAGGTGTGATCACTTTTTACTCTTCCAGTGGGGACAACGTTGATAACAACCTCACATATTCAATGTCCCTGCAGCTCAGACTAACTGCTCTTAATTTGTGAATGCTTGATGTTGATGTTGTGCTTCCAGTGTGTACGTGTGTCGTCCACAAGCGCTGCCATGAGCTCATCATCACCAAGTGTGCCGGGATGAAGAAGCAGGAGGACACACCTGATGAGGTACACACACTCACATGCAAACATCCAAGTGCACATGGAGTATGTAGATTTTTAGCTCTTTAATATTCGTTAATAAACTGTTTATTACGTATCAACGCACACACACTGAATCTTTTTGGAGAAACTGAATATGGACACAGACACTCACCATTCAGGCCTTTCGTGAATAAATCTGTGTTACTTAAGGTAACATGTGTACACTGTGTACTAACACTTGAGCCACATGCATTATTCCTCTGATAATGCCACGGTGACCTCTTTGTAACGCCGTTTGTGTGTGTCTCCCTCTGTAGGTGGGTTCACAGCGGTTCAGTGTTAACATGCCCCATAAGTTCAGCATCCACAACTACAAGGTCCCCACCTTCTGTGACCACTGTGGCTCCCTGTTGTGGGGCCTCATGAGGCAGGGCCTACAATGCAAAGGTGAGTTCATGTGCAGTGGGGAATTCACAGTGTGAGCGCGCAAGGATGCATTTAAAGGTCCTTGCAACCTGATTGGAGCCTAAACAATATGTGTATATATTTAAAGTCAAAAGCTTCTCAAATGTTTAAATAAATGTTAATTCATTTTATAAAAGCACAAATGAAAAATGTATTTTTACTACAGTTATAATAAAATAATAAATAACATTTTGTATCTCTGATGATAAGGATTTTACATCCAGCTTGTTTTTTTACTTTTTACATTTTGAGGTAATCTGAGAAAATCTTTCCTGTTTTCTTGTCAAATAATGCACAAAATTTGCCACGTATATCCCATGAATATCTTTTTCAATAATTAAAATGACCATGTAGAGCTGAAACAGTCATTTAAACATCCATTGGAAAAATAAATGAAATTGACATTTGAGTTTTGTTTGGACCAAACACGCAATTTTAGGATGCCACTTTTTTGTTATGTTCTTTATTTGTACATATAATATATATATAAAGAAGACAATACAATTTCCAAACAGGACATACTAAAGAATAAAAAGACTAAGGAAGGAAAAAGTAATAAAAACAAGGATAACAATAACATTTATTTGCAATACTTTTATACACTGTCATACACTTTCCTCATTTACATAGTACTTTACTGAAGATAAGTTGTTTTAGGTGCTTTAAAAAAAAAATCTAAATTAAGGAGTGAAATGCTGTTCCATACCTTGGTGATTAATCAAAAACAATAAACAGAATAATGGATAATGAAACTAATCATTAGTTGCAGTCCTATAAAGATTCTGTTGTAGTACTACATTAACTATGTACTGATGTCTTTCAATGAGTGGCATCATTTTGCAATGCCTTTTTCACACCTGTGACCTTCCAGCACACTTTAATGTCTTTAACTTCTAGGTAACCTTTTAAAAGTCCAGTGACACCCTTCCTGGGATTTACCTGAACAATTCTCATGTGTTTTTTGTTTCGCAGTGTGTAAGATGAATGTGCACAGACGGTGTGAGACTAATGTAGCTCCTAACTGTGGTGTGGACGCCCGAGGAATCGCTAAGGTCCTGTCTGACCTCGGAGTCACACCCGATAAGATCTCCAACACCGCACAGCGCAGGAGGAAGGTAACGAGTCACTGTCACTGTGGTACTGCACATTTGGTCCCTCACAAATAAAGATATTTCCTTTATTAAGTTATTACATTAGAAACAGGAAAGTAGGACGACTCTGATAATTGTGATTAGGTTGTTATTTTCTTTACTCATAGAAATGGTTTTGTTTCAGCATTAAAAAGTTAATTTATTATGACAGATGGAAATAATATTTGAGAAACTACAAGAGTCTACCATAATGGTGGAATAATAGGACAGAAGTGGAACAAATTCAGATCACACCATAACTTTTATTCAAATATATTAGTGTCTTTGTTTTGTGCACCATCGCATACATGTGTATTTTGTGAAATCCTTTTAGTCGAGTAAATACTGTATGAGCAGACGGATACTACTCTCATGTATGTATGATAAATATGAAGCAGGTAGCAGCTGGTTAGCGTAGCCAGCATTGGGAGGATTAGTCAAACACCTAATCCAAATATCACAGTATTAAAGAAGCGTAACCTCCTTACTTTGCATTACTTTTATATAAGAAGATTAGATGTATTCTGATGTAATGTGTAACAATGTAACCTTAGAAAAGAAAATGGGGAAACTAATATCTTTAGCATCAAAAATGTGTCTCTGCTCAGTGTATTTTTAAAGAAAAACTCTTTTATTTTAAGCAAATTCAGGCAGTAGCCTATAGACCATTGTCACAGCTGGAAGGCAGAGCTTGCACTGTACTGTGATGTTGTTCCTCTTTTTGCTTTCATGACAAAATAATGGTTAAATTTCCAGTGAAAGCATTTTTTCCCCACTAGAGCACACAATGAATTGGCAGCTGTAAGATAAACTATGTTTTCACTAGAGACCAGAGTGGTGTTTTAAAAGTGTACTGTATGTAAGCTGAGCCAATAAGCTGTTGGATGTAGCTTCATATTTACCGCACAGACGTGAGAGTGGTATTAATCTTCTTATCTAACTCTTTAGGATGCTCAAAGTACTTCCAAACCTTTTGAGAAATAATTGATTTCTTAAAATAAAATGATTTTATCCTGTGCATGTTTGTGGAAATTGATGCGTAGGAAAAAAATAAAGTCAGAGGGGCACCCCAAAGGAACGGTCATGTTGTCTCTCTCTTTCTCCAGTTGACTCCAGGGCAGGACCCTCCCCAGTCTCCTCCTGAGCTCTCCCAGACGGAGGAGAACAGCTTCAGCCAGCCAGCTGTCCCCACCTCCCCCTCACAGCAGGGTAACACTGAACACAACACAGATTCATAAAAAAAAACACAGATTTGACACAAACAGGCGCACATTTCAAAGCCCTCTGAGATGCGTTCTTAGCAGCATGTGGTTTTAATGTGTTAATTTTACCAGTAAGAGGTAGTATTTCCATTTCAGTAATAATATTGTTGCTCCTTTTAAAAAATAAGTAGTTAAATGTGTTATTGTTGCTGTAGATGAAGTTGAATTATCTAAGAATTATCCCCCACCGCCCACCACCGCCATTTGGCTGTCACAGTTAGTCATCGTCCTCTCACACTTTGCAAGCTGAGAAATAAAAGTTAACTTTCTCTTTTGTGGAAGGATTCCCATTTTTGTCTTATCGAGCCAAACGATGCTTATAACAATACCGGTCCCTGCTGCTATTTAATCACCTTGGTTGGAGATGCAAATGTAAAAGAGTCATCCCAGGTTTTAACAGAGAATGCGATCATCATTTTTTAAAAGTTTATTGAAAAGTAATCAGCCACAAACAATGAACAATGTTTCTAAAAAAAAAACCCTCTTTCTTTGCATAATGAGCTGACAGGAAAAAGACAGTCAGCCTGTTTTCACTCAAGTCTGATCTGCTTTTCCGTTGACACCCACAGACTTGGCAGGGTTAGATCGCCTGCAGGACGCGCTGTCACTCGACCAGCAGGGACCCCAACACACCTCCTCCTCCTCCTCTTCCTCCTCCTCCACCACCTCCTCTTCCTCCACGTCCTCCTCCACAGCAGGCAGGGAGAACGGACAGATCCAGAGGAGGAGCCTCAAGGACTTCAATTTTATCAAGGTTCTCGGCAAAGGCAGCTTCGGCAAGGTGCGACAACACAGAGGAGGCGTTTGAGGGGGATGTTTGTTTGTTTACTGCTCATTATTTTCATAATTAAAACAGGGTTTTTGTTCTTTTAGCAGCCCGTTCACCAGGTTCTTATTATTTATAGCTGCTGAATTACCAGGAGATGTCAGTGAATATCAGGGACCAGAATAGACTAGTTGACATGTGAATGACAGATTATGGAGGCAGCTGTTTTAACACATTAAATTTTCCACAATGTACCATTTCCAAACCAGATTTCTCCTTCTTAAAAACATTAACAAACAAGAAACTATGAAAGTACTGAGCTGTCTCACATGCAGTTATGGTTTAGCTGCACTAAATATTTTTGTATTAAAGCTGCAGTACGCAGATGGTAATAATATAAAGATCTGATAATACTCTTTTACTTGGTAATAGAAAAACCACACAGTCATATATAAGAATTCACTCATTAAAACTGTATACAAGGGGAAAATATAGGTAGATATAAGATATAAGTGTGTCGATTTGCGATTTTAGACTTTTTATACTTCCATCATCAGACATCTTTTCAGTTTATGAACAAATTATTAACCTAAAGTGGAGGTTTGTTCACCAGTAGTGTCCAGTTTTTTATAAATGTTACTAACTTCTGTGATTTCCTGCTTTCTTTTCTCTCTTCTTCCAATCTCTACTCACTTTTTTCCCACCCATCGCTGCTGCATCTTTTCCCTCTCCTTCCTGTTTCCATCATCTTGTCTCTCATATCCAGGTAATGCTGGCGGAGCTGAAGGGCACGGAGGAGGTTTACGCCGTCAAAGTTTTGAAGAAGGACGTGATACTGCAGGACGACGATGTGGACTGCACCATGACCGAAAAGCGCATCCTGGCCCTCGCCCGCCGACACCCCTACCTCACCCAGCTCTACTGCTGCTTCCAGACACGGGTCGGTCCACCAGACAGCACGCGCACGTACATATTTGATAGTTCGTCTTTGTTTTCTCTGATTTATACCTCTCACTCTCTCTCTCTCTCTCTCTCTCTCTCTCTCTCTCTTTCTCTGCAGGATCGCTTGTTTTTTGTAATGGAGTATGTGAACGGAGGAGACCTGATGTTCCAGATTCAGCGATCCAGGAAGTTTGATGAGTCTCGCTCTCGTTTCTACGCCGCCGAAGTCACCTCAGCCCTAATGTTCCTGCACCGTAATGGGGTCATCTACAGGTAAACACCCCCTTATTTCAATGTGTTCCAGCCAAGAACATCCTGAACTCCTTGATCAGAACACTTTGATCTTCACTTTGTTGGATCCTGATTAGAAAGCCTAGAGGAATTGAGTTATTATATATAGTTATTATATATACTATGTATAGTTATTTGAAGGATTGTTATGGAATTTCACAAATAGTTCTCTTACCAGGACCATACCAGACGGTGTATGACAACATGTTTCACACTTTAATTACATTACATGGTGATTCTCAAGTTTTTCACATTTCATGCTCACTTCTCCCAGCGAGTCAAACTGTTATGGAAACCAGATGGTGCTAATTCTCTCTCTCTCTCTCTCTCTCTCTCTCTCTCTCTCTCTCTCTCTTTCTCTCTTTCTCTCTCTCTCTGTGTTTCTCAGGGATCTGAAGCTGGATAACATCCTGCTGGATGCAGAAGGACACTGTAAGCTTGCTGACTTCGGCATGTGCAAAGAGGGAATCATGAACGGAGTGACCACCACCACCTTCTGTGGCACACCTGACTACATCGCCCCTGAGGTGAGCTGAACTGTGGCATATTCTCCTTTGGTCTTTCTGTTGATTAGGTGTGGGAACTCAGGGTTTCCCCCAGAAAAGTTGTCAGGCCCGGCGGCTCGGCTGTACCAAGGACGAGGTGCTCGACTTGAGGCTAGCGGTCTCTGACTCATCGCCATCACCTCCACTATTTGGCTGTTTTTTACTTTTCCTCCTTATTCCTAAATGAAGTGTCTGTGTTACTGACTGTTAGGTTGCTAGATAACATTAGCTTGTGATTGTTGGAAGTGTCAAGCGTTCACACTATGCACAATGATGATAAAGGACACTGATCTCAGACCTGCTGACCTATAGTGCATTCACGTTTTAACCAACAGATGTCGCTGGTGAGCTTTCCAACCATTATATCTGTTTCCAACCGAGAAGCCCCACTGTGGTGTAAAAAACTAACAATTGTTTTAATAATTGAGAAATGGATTAAACATGTGGTCCATAAAATGTCAGAAAATAGTCAAAAGTACTCAACTCAGCCAGGTCAACATATATCTTGTTTGAAACCAAAAGATATTCATAGAAGATTAAGAAAACGAGCAAATATTCCTAATTAAGAAACTGGACATTTTTGGCATTTTTGCTTGAATAAATGTTTAAATAGTCCCAGATTGATTATCTGTCAGTCAACTAACTGACTAATCGTTTCAGCTGTAATTACTGGTACTTACTTAATGGTTGTCGTCAGGTAAAAATCTTGTATTTCCAAAAGTCAACCTTAAACCAGCCTGGTTTAAGGGGGACAACACAATGACTTCTATACATCAATCTAAAACCTTTTAGAGAAATGTTTATGTACTTTTCCTTTCCTTTTTTCCCACTTTCATTCCTATTTTCTTTTATTCCTTTATTTTTCCCTCATGTCACCCGACAGTAAAAATGACTCCTTTTTCTTTAACTGTTGATACCTTTTTTTGGTGGTTTTGAATCAAGTCCTTTGCACCAGCAGACCTGTGTCGCCGTTACTGTCCTCTATGTTGAACCGTGTCATGTTGTTGAATTCAGATCCTGCAGGAGCTGGAGTACGGAGCCTCTGTGGACTGGTGGGCCCTGGGGGTGCTGATGTATGAGATGATGGCCGGACAGCCTCCGTTCGAAGCTGATAACGAAGACGACTTGTTCGAGTCAATTCTCCATGACGACGTCCTTTATCCCGTGTGGCTCAGCAAAGAAGCTGTTTCTATCCTTAGAGCGGTACGTGTCCTCTCTGCACCATGAAACACATCTTTCAACTGTTTCTTCATTTGATTATTAGAGTTTGAGGAGCGATTAAATTCTTTTCAAGAGGGCATGTCCGTCCAAGTGAAATGAAGAATAGTTTAATTTTAGCATAATTTAATTCAGTAGATTTTGTCCCAATCAGATGATGTATGAAAAATACATAACTCAACAAAAACTAAATCTTTCTGTGAGGAGGTCTTTAGACAAAAGCTTTCCGTCATTTATGTGATGATTTGGACGTCATAATGGGCTGAATTAAGTTCAAAATTGGCTTTTTTTTTCTTCTTCTTTTTTTTTTTTACATCTTGAATGCATAAAGCCTCAGTTTGTGATTTGTGCGTTAGTTTAACATTCGAGTCAAAGAGCTAATCGTCCAGTGTCCAAAGACTTTTCTTAAGATCTGGATGAAAAAATATTCCACCTGTCACACAATAAAAAGGAAGACAAGAAATATATGAACACATTGTTTGGAAATATCAGACAATATAAATTAATATCAATATTGACAAATTAAATTGATTAATTATTTATGGTCGGTTCATGTTGTACAAATTGAGCAAAGAGACAAAAACCATCTTTGTTTGACACAACTGGGAAGCAGAAGATGGAATATTTTTTCATCCAGATGGTTAAAAGTGTTTTGAGGAATCTTGAAATATCTTTCCAAAAACCATCCATTTTGTTAAATGACCTGGGTATTTCAAAATTGGATATTATGAATTCAATGGTATTACACGAGAGGCACAAATGGGGGCTAAGTTACAATTAACAATTAAAGGTTAGATTGTCATGTTTAATGTAACCCACAATTTTCACCTTTAAATCACCATGCTGCATTATGAAATAAATGTCTGTGACCTCCAAAACTTTACTTTGAAAAGATTTCACCTCATGCAAAAAGGTTTTGCTCAGGATTTCTAGGTGTACGTCCTATGTTCTTGTGGTCATTTTTCTCACACTATCATTCATGTCCATATCCTCAGAGTTGCAGGCAAACAACTCAAGTGCACTTAACAGAGGTGTTACGAGTCACTTTGCTGTGATACAGAGAAGAATAAAAAAAGGCAGTCAAAGAGGTTAAAGTAATAACAATGCGATCATAAAATCACAGTAGATCACAAAGTGCTCTCACAATACTGAACAGACAGCAGAACAAAAGAGACGCAGTTTTCAGTGACAGTAAATAACACCAGCTCTCCGCTGACCTGTTTCATCACTCTGCCACTATGCCTCTTTGTTTGTACCATCCACAGAGCCATTAATGCCTCAGCTCTATTATTAGCACTGAAATGCTTCCTGCTCAACCCCTCGTTCTGCTTCTCTGCGTGTCATTTTATGGATGAAACCACAGCTAAGCGTCTTAAAGGGGCTGGTTTTCAGCTGGTTATAGTTTGAAATCAAAAGTGTGTGCGTTTGTGTTTGTGTCTAGTTCATGACCAAGAACCCGGCCAAGCGTCTTGGCTGCGTGGTGAGCCAGGGCTGCGAGGAGGCCATCAAGACCCATGCCTTCTTCAGAGAGATCGACTGGGTCCTGCTGGAGCAGCGAAAAGTCAAACCACCCTTTAAACCCCGGATTGTAAGAAACACACACATAACACACACACACACACACACACACACACAAACACACACACACACAAACACACACACACACACACACACATACAGACACACATATACTAATAAACAAAGACAAATGTTTTCAGTCTATCCTACAGAACTGTAAATCTGACGTAACTGATGTATGTATATATGTATCCTATGTTTAAGGGTATTTTATTTTTGTCTTTTACTGACTTTTACTAAAAAACTCCAAGATTGTTTAAAAAAAGATGCAAAAGGATTTTATCCTGCACACATGCAAAACTTGTGTCCTGCTGCAAGAACACTTTACTCTGCAGTTTACAGTAAACCAAGGTCCTCCTGTGTGAACAGCTCAGCTCATGGTGATGGAACAAAGAGGGAAAATGCAAATGAGCCACTGATTATGTAGCATGGTCCCCCAAAATAATATTTTTGTGTCATTGTCACATTTTTTAAATAGCAATAAATTCACATTTTAAGTAAATTCATTTAAAAGTTAAAACCCCAACATTTGAGCCTTAATTAAAGTGTACTGTTCCCAAACGTTTTGGCTTGTGATCCCTTAAACCAAGGCAGTGTGTATTTGTAATCTCTTATTACAGGTTGCATGTGTTAATGAGAACTAAATAGTATATTTAGTCTCAGATGCACTTATTTAAACAATGTGTAGAGGCCGAGGGCTGGTTGTTGTGCACTGACACCAAACACCAGACACCAAAAGTTTGGCTTGGCATTAAAATGCAGGTGTTGTATCGCTTGTACTTCAAAATAAGATGCAAAGGAAAGATAAAAAGAGGAAAGAAGTCTCAAAAAGAAAGATTTATAATTACATTTTCTATTCTGGGTGTCCAGCCACATGTTGTAGAACATGTTACCACACATGTAGCTAACATGCACAGGTGTGGGTTATCACAGAAAAGGCAGTAAGTCTCAGTGGTCAGAAGGTGTCGCTCTGATATCACTTTTACAGCAATAGATTGTTTCTTTTCTCTGACGTCCTTCCCCCTGTGTGTGTGTGTGTGTGTGTGTGTGTGTGTGTGTGTCTCTGCAGAAGACCAAGCGAGATGTGAATAACTTTGACCAGGACTTCACCAAGGAGGACCCTGTGTTGACGCCCACGGACGAGGCCATCATCCGACAGATCAACCAGGAGGAGTTCAAAGACTTCTCCTACTGCGCCCCAGAGGAGGCGCAGACCTAACATACGCACACACACACACACACACACTAACACACACACACGCACACACACACGCACACTGATCCAACACTTTGCACGTTCGCACACACCGCTGACCATAAATCCCTTTACAAAACACACACACACACACACACATACGGTCACTCCTTTACTTTGAAGCTATTGGTTGTTGTTACTTTTGGAATATTCTTTACTTGCATTGTGTTGTTCTTGTTGCCTGGGTTTATTATGAATATAAATATGACTATGAATATGAATATGAATATGAATATGAATATACACACCTGCACATGCTCTCACACACATTCCCACGAGCACACTTTTAATGCAGATTTACACACAAAACACGCTCTCACACACCTATGAGCTCACTGCACATGCTCAGACAACTAAACACACACACACACACACACACACACACACACACACACACACACACACACACACACACACACACACACATACACCCACTGCTTCTCTCCCCAGCACATATGTGGACTGTACAGTAGGTGCTGGGCTCAGAGGCCTGTATATAGCCTGTGTTGAGTGGCTGTATTGTGTTGGTATTGTCTGCTAGTAAAGGAGAGTTGTGGCGCATGGACAAGCACCCTACCTGTGTTATTACTGTCCTTATTGTGGACCAGTTAGGGCCAAATACCCTTTGTGCAATACCCTGACTATCTATATATTTTACGGTTTTTGTTCGTTCATGTGTTATTTTTGTCTTTTTTTTCTCCTCAAAATGTTTTTTGTTAGTATGATTGAAATTTTGCTCTCATCTTCTGACACATTCACTCCACGTCCTTCTGTCTTGTGTATATAAAGTGAATGTCGAGCTAACAAGTTACAGGCTAGTGAACTAATTATGTGGAGCAGAGTGTTACAGGCGGCCTGTGTAGCAGTTAAAAGCCCGATTTCCAGCTATTTCATCCATCTGCTAGTTTCAGAGTCCGTGTCTGTCCAGCCGGCGTGAATGTGCTGGCCTGTGGGCGTTATTTTGTCGTGAATGTACATTTTTCGTATGTGTGAATGCGTGATTTTTTTTTTTCCTTCTCTGTCGGTGTGTGACTTTTTGTCTTCAGCATTTCTGTTTCTATAGTTACCATCAGTATTTTCAGCCCCCCTTTTCCTTCCCCTGTCCTCCAAAGCACCAATTCCCCTTTCCCGCCTCCAGCAGCCGTCTCACTCAGCCAAAACCACTTGCTTTTCTGACTTTTGCTTTTTTCAAGAATGGCTTTTCTTTCTTATTGCTCTCTTTCTTTTTTTTTATTATAATAATTATTATTATTGTAAAGTGTATCTGGAGGAAACCTTTGTGTAAAATACTATAACTATACTATCATAGGTCTGTTACAGCCGGGTGAAAAGAAATGTGGAAAACCAGCAGCTGAATTACCTCTTATTTCTCACAGACACACACACACACACACAGACAAAAACACCACATACAGACTCTCTCCTTTGCCTCCTCCCTCTTCTTCTCACTCTCTTTCTTACAGACACACACACACACACACACACAGAGAAGGACTGTTGTCGTGTGTACTATACAGTGATCTGAAGGCGAGCTGGTTGCTCTGTGTGCAGTAGAGTCGGTGTATAGTGAAGCTTTGTGCACCCAGGGGTAGGGCTGTTCCTGGTCACACTATCTTACTCTGTGCCAAAATGTAGTGCAACAGCCAGGCTAGTCCTGTCTGGTCTGATTCCAATAAAACACTGAGCTGTCTACATCAATCCCAGACTCTTCTGTGTCGTCTTTCCGTTTAGAGGCTTATCTGTGGTTTTCTGTGGGATGCTTTAAAGTTTGTGTGAGAGAAGAAGTGAGGGGAGGGAGGAGTGGAGAGACAGAGAGAGAGAGGAAGGGGAGGGGAGGGGAGGTTGATGCTTTTCCTGGCCATCTGACCTATCACTGTGCTCAGTTTTTGGAGGTCTGTAGGTGATGCACATGCAGAGGGGAGTGGGGACACTTGCTGGAGGCTGTTCAACCACTTGCCTTGTGACATTTGGCACCACTAATTGCCTCTCTGATTAATTAGACTACCTGCGAAGGTGCAAATTGTAGCTGGGAGATTCCCGGCTGTGCTGTGAACTCCTGCTGGTACCGTCTCTCTCATCTCAGCATTTACCATGACACCGGATAGAGACGCCTGTGGGACACGATGACAGCCGACAAGGAGAAGAGAAGGTAAAGTTGCATGTTTGTTTGTGCACAGAGATATTTTGATAACTCTCTTCACAGTGCATCTGATGTTTTCAAAAATAGTTAAACTGTTCTATTTTTGCTTCAGCTGAATTGTTTTGATGCCAGTTGGGTCAGTATTTGAGGTGATGTGGTGAGCCCAGAGATGGTGTTGTGGCCACGCTGGGCATCTAGATAACTTCAATCTTGACCACAATGCACTACTGTCCTTACCCCTCAGTTCATCAGTGGTGGAAGCACTACTCAAATCCTTTAAAAATAACAAAACCCCAATAGAAAAATAGTAAAATTGCTGCAAATTTTAAGTGAAATGAAAAACGTATTAGCAGTAAAATGTACTTTTGTCAAAAGTAAATGTAAGCATACTGTTCAAAGCATGAAAATAACCTCAGATTGGAGATTTCCTAACTCACCAGCGTCATCTTAGTTTGTAAGTATTGCATGCTTCCTTAAATGTTGAGAAATTCTCTACAAGCCATCAGATGTCAAAAAGTCAATGTGTCTACAAAATATTTTCAGGGTCTTCAGGGTCATCTTTTTTTTTTTGCCAGACAACGTTGATGTTATATCAGTTTCAGGTCTTGCTGAAAGTACAATCTGAATCTGCAAAATTACAGCTGTAGTGAGGAAAATATGCAGTAAAAAGCAGTATTACTTTATAAGTAGAGTACGTCAAAGAGTCTGTGAGTTAATGCACTGCAGTTTTGTACATCCGCAATACTCACTTTGACTCACTTGAATTTATGCATACATTTTTAATGTATCTTAATAACTGTAACAACAAACAAACACAATATTCTTTAAGCATGTTTAGTATTTTCTGTTCTATTACAATAGAAAGTTAAGTTACAATTTCAACCATTGTATAATCAGCCAATTTACAGTTGTAGAGTGCTGTGTATGTATTCTATCATTATTCATATAGCATATGTTATTAATATCTGTAATGCCTTGTTAATAGTGACTTTGCTGTACTTAATATTCTTTTTATTTTAAATAAATGCATGCTAATCTTATTGAGATGACTTGAGTCAATGTTTTTTTCCTGACCTCTTTTCTCTGCAGGGCGATCAGCCGGGAGGCGGCCAGAAGGAGACGCCGGGTGGAGTCTGATGTGTTTGGAGATTTATCTCGACTCCTGCCGCTCCAACCCACTGTCCGAGCTCACCTGGACAAGCCCTCAGTCATTCGCCTCACCCTCAGCTACATACGCACACAAGCACTGCTCAAAGGTACCGACAGTCAACACACACACACACACACACACACACACACACACACACACACACACACACACACACACACATCAAGAATGCTAGCATCTACATATGAAAAGGCCTGACACCATTTCTGGACAAAAAATGTGTTTCAAAATACAAAAACAGGCAAAAATCTCTATATATTTAAATATATATTTATGCAGATGCTATTCATTGATATATGTATATTTCATATATACTGTGACATATTTTTGCAGTATTTAGATAAAATGGTATCTGTAAAGAAAAAGATGGCAAAGAATACTTATATAAATTTTACTTTCATTATTCTTTTCTGAGTTATTCACCACATCTATCACCAGAAATATTTCCATTTACAATATTAATATGTATATAATGACAACTAAATAAATTTATACTTTATATAATGCATATAGTACTATTAGTAGTTAGTATCCCGAAACATCTTCACTTAAGAGTCGTTCAACGAAGAATATGCTTTACAATAACAATAATTTAATATGTCTGCCTGCTCTATCAATCAGAAGATTTTTTGTACAATAGATACAGCTTTCAAATGAGTGTGTCCAAAAGTACAGTATATTTCAAATGGGCCTACGTGTATAAAGACAGTTCTTGGTTAAATTCATGGCACACACACACACACACACACACACACACACACACACACACACACACACACACACAAATCATGTGTTCTGGTGAGCTTGTGTGTTAATAAGACCCCCCCGCGCTTTAAAAAGAAAAGGAAATGCAGACGGGTGTTAGATGGGGGAAGTCCTTGATAACATGAGTAATAACACCTGGAACACAAATACACACCATACACCACATCCTTTCATCATAGTTGCCACAAATACCCATCTCACTGACAATGTAGAGTTGTTTCCCATGAAAGGAGCTATTTTTCACAGCAATTATGCAGAAAAAATCAATCAGTAGCACAATCAATGAAATCACTGACAATCTTGTGCTGTTTCAGAAAAGACTGGGACAAAAACAGAGGCCAGTGATGCAGTAAAATATGTACAAGTGATGGAAGGTGGAGAGAACCGGCGAGAGTGTGACAGAGGATTTGAAGAGGAGGAGAAAGAAACTGAGTATGTGGAAGCCTCGGAGGAGGCGAACATGTACCTGAGGATCCTGGAGGGGTTTCTGATGGTCCTGTCCACTGAGGGAGACATGATCTACCTGTCTGACAATATCAGCAAGTACATGGGCTTGACACAGGTACACACACACACACACACACACACACACACACACACACACACACACACACCTAAACACACATTTTTATATGAATGATGTAATGGTATATGTTTAGGATTCAGAATTTACTAATCAAAACTAAACATTCTCTGACAGACTGAGCTGATGGGACACAATATTTTTGAGTTTACTCACCCCGGTGACCATGACGAAATCAGAAGTAATCTACGTCTTACAGCAGGTGTGTTTGTGTGTGTGTGTGTGTGTGTGTGTGTGTGTGTGTGTGTGTGTGTGTGTGTGTGTGTGTGTGAGCGTGGAGGACTCTGTTTGAACAGGTTTATCTTATTAAATTACTTATTTTTTAGAGGAAATTTGGTGGGGTGCAAAGAGGGACTTTGTCTTGAGGATAAAAAGTGCTCTGACACACAGAGGAAGAAGCGCCAACCTCAAGTCAGCTACGTGGAAGGTCAGTGAGAAATAACCGCTTAAAACACAAATTCACACTTTTTCTCTCTTCCTGAAAATTTCTAACATCGTGAAGCAGCAAAAAGTTTCCGATAGTGTTTATTTGCCCAGTTTTAATCCCACTCTCGCTGTGGTTTAGGTTCTCCATTGTCAGGGCCGAGCGAAGGTGTGTCTCACCCCATCTTCGGTTTCCTGCCTGGTGCTGACCTGCCAGCCTCTGCCGCTCTCGCACATGCTCCTCAGCATACACACCTTCACAAGCCAGCACAGCATGGACATGAAGTTCACATACTGTGACCAGAGGTGATTCACACAAATGTATACACACACGCTTGACGGTACACAAACACATATATACAAGTGAGTAACCAACTGTCTTGTCTGTGTACTTCATTGCATATAATAATAATATATCATATTAAATGGAAGTGAAAAAGGATGCGAAAAAGTGGAAGTTACCCTGCTTATGTTTTACTTTTACTTTTTACTTTAAACAGTGGAGAAAGAACCCTGCATACTCTTTGACTTTTATTTCCATGTAATGTAATAAGGAGGAGTTGTGATTTAATTTTGCAATGTTGAACATTATGAAATTAGAAAAAGGAAGGAAGATTAATAAACTTTTTTTTAATTCTGTGCTGCACTGAATAAAACACTCAAACCATTAGCAGCTGTCTCAAATAAGATTATTTTGTATTGTTTAAATCTCACTGACCCAATTACAAATTCATGCTGCAAAGCTAAACATAATTCAAACCCACATACATTTATTTTAAAACCCAGTGGAGATCTCACATTTCTGGGCAAATGTGTACAAAATGATGCACAATACATCTAGAATATTGCCATGATGCAGTTATTTAAAGCACGGAGTCTTGAGGTTGAGTGTTTCTCTCAATGTAAACGTCGTATAGCTTCGCTGAAGAGCTGACGCAAGCTGACAAAGAATATATGAATATCTGATACTGTGAGATTGAAATGAGATGATTTTAACAAACTACTGAATGTGATAGAAGAGAAAGCTGGATTTTAAGGGGTTAATTTAGCGTAACAAAGATGAAAAAAATAATTTAGATTTACAACTACTGCTTTGTTCCCTTTTTACCTTCCCCCCTTTTCAATTTTAGATGCCATGGCTGCATAATATCAGTAAACTTGAAACTTGTGCTGCAGCTGCTGCTGAATAAGCAAAATTGAATATGACGATAAAATAATGTGTTTTTATTAGGTTACTGTAAAGAGCTTACACTGTAATCAGCATATTTTTGGACCATTTAAAAGCACAAACGTATAAATAGTAGTAATTACTGTACATGATTAACATGTGCTCAGTTGATGCTTAAAGACTAAATTCTTATTGTTTCTGCTTTGTGTGTTTGCAGAGTAACTTCGCTGTTAGGTTACCGTCCTGAGGAGCTGCTGGGCCGTTCCATCTATAATCTCTGTCACACACTGGACACAAAGTGTCTGACCAAAAATCATCTGAACTGTTAGTACTGACACACACACACACACACACACATATTACACACCGGTGAATATCTCATTCCAGATCTCTCTCGCTCTCCCTGCAGTGTGTTGTAAGAGTCAGTCAGTCAGCGGTCAGTACAGGATGCTGGTGAAAAATGGAGGTTACGTCTGGGTGGAGAGTCACAGTGCCGTCATACCCAGCGTCCGGCCCTCCAAGTCCAGGTTCAGCGGCAACCAGCCACTCTGCATCCTTTGTGTTACCTATGTCCTCAGGTGTGTGTGTGTCATTTGATTTTAATCTACTTGCTGAGAATTAAAACTACCTTGATAAAGCTTAACCCATCACAGTGACTATTTAGTTGCCATACTAGGGATGGCTGTGTTGGTCAGGTCGGTCCACCACTTTGGTCCAAACTAAAAATCTCAACAACTGATTGATGGATTAAGATGGAATTTTGTGACATTTATGTTCACAGGAGGATGAATCCTGCAGACTTTGGTGATTCCCCTGCTTTTTCCTCTAGCGCCACCATGAGGCTTTGTGGCTTCAAGTAAAAAACAACTATTGGACAGACTGCCATGAAATTTGATACAGACATTAGGATGAATTAGTCAGTTTGATGACCTTCCCTTAAGCAGCATCATTAGGTTAAGATGTAATAATCTGTCCAATACTTTGGTTTATGACTAAGCTACCAATCATACCTGCAAAAATAATGGTACTTCCATCAGTCTCAGCTGTACTTTGTGTTATTCTAAACATCAGTATATTAACATTATTAATGGTGAGCACGTTAGCATGTTGATGTTAGCATTCAGCTCAACCCCTCTGCCTCACTACAACCTCACAGACCCCCTAGCACGGCTATAGACACAATGTGGGCGGTGCCACAAACAGAAATCAGTTTGCAGGTTACTGGCAGTGTTTTATTCGCCCCTTTGCTCACGTAAAATGGAAGTGAATATTAGCCCGTGCTGGCTTGAAGTGTGACTTTTGGGTGTTTGTTGGTGCGGTTAAAGTTGCACTGATGTGCAAGATTGTTTGAAGAGTCAGCAACGAAACAATGATTTCCTTAACGTGAGAAAAGTGTCATGTTTATGCTATCACTTTGCTAGACTTGAGGAAATGATGAGGAAAGTCCCCCAACCCTAACAGAGTAGTCATTTTCATCTGAACAATTATCTTTCTCAAAACTGAACCTTAACCATAGTGTTGTCATGTAATAAATCTGATTTATTTAGACAGTGACAGTGAGCTTTTGTCCTGCTGATAGGAGTGTTAGATTAGAAACTGCCTCTATGTTTAGTTCTAAAGTATATTTTACCGTCATTGATTACCAATCTCAAAGCAGGTTTCAAATCTCTGCAAGTGCTTCAGTAAACGGCGGCATATGAAGCTAATAACTTATCGTTTGCTTCAGTCTTAGTCTATAAAATGTCATAAAACTGTTAAAATTAGTTATAAATTCCTTGTTTTGCCTGAACAGTTCCAAACAGAAAGATATTGCATTTACAATTTTATAAACTGGGGGGAAAAAGCAGCAATTCTGACATTTAAGGAACTGAGCCGGAACCTGTGAAGCATTTTTGCTCAATAAGTTAAAATGATTTTCAAAATAGTTTGCAATTATTTTTGTGTTGTGTTGCTTTGTTAAATGGTTGAAAGTAAAACAAAAACCAATGTGTTTCGAGGCTCTATAGTAGAGGTAGCTTGTGTAGCTGTTTTTAGAGTATTATTATTTATAAATGGTTTAATGCTGTATGCATGTGTCTGTGTGTGTCACAGTGGTGTGGAGGAGCCGTCCCTGCAGCTCTCGTTGGACCAGACAACCTACAGATATATGAGCTGAAGCTGCAGTCTGAAGAAAACAACAACAACAAAACCCTTGTTCAAAAAAACAACTATCTTCTCTACCTCTGTCTGTGAATTCGTAATTCTTAATATTTTCATTTATCTAACTTTTATTAGACATAAAACATTCCAATGTAAAACGACTTGCTGTGTGTTTTTGATTTGTCTAAGGATATCCACCTACATTATTTGATGTGTAGTACTATAGATATACAGTAGCTTTAATATATTTGAACAAAGACAACTAAAATGTTTTTTACTTGAAGCTGTTTGAGCCCTTCAGTTCACACTTTTTTCACACTGTTTTGCATAGTCGTTGCAGTAACACAACTTCTGTTACTCTATATGAAAACTGGAAGTTGTAGGTGTAGACTGTGGTTGACAGACAGTTGACGGGGCGTAGTGAGAGTTGTCATTTGTTGATGAAAGCATGCAGTTTGACTCTTTTCTGACCTCTCTGGGCCTGACCTTACTTCCTGCTGGGTTTCCTTCTGGGCCACCTGACACGTGGGGTGACATCTGACTGTCAAGCATTGACACAATGTACAATACACACACAAACACACAAACACACACACACACACACACACACACACACACACACACACACACACAGACACAGAGTATATATAGAGAGATATGCATTGTGCTGATGAGGAGATGTGAGCAGACGCAAGCCAAAGCCACAGCTTCCTGAATAGAGACACTCAAGAGGAACGTTCTCGTGGGAAACTTTTCAACTTTTTACCTCTCAGCTTCTAAATTCACACACACACACACACACACACACACACACACACACACACACACACACACACACACATAACAGACTATTTACACTTTCAGTTCAACTGGCTTTGCTGGTATGAAACTCAGTCATAATGAGATTTGGAATAAAAATCTGAATAAAGTGCATGATGACAATGATCATAACAAAGAACAGCACACTGCTGGGCTAAATTTGGTTGAAAAGTGAAATTAATAAAAGATGAAATGAGTGACTAAAAAAGTTGTTAGGCAGTGTTTGAATCACTGTATTTCAGTGCATACTTGGGATCTGTTTAAAAAAATATATAGCTGTGGTGGAATGTAACTACTGGAACAAATGTGAGGTGCTTGTACTGTACTTAAGTTTCTGTTTCATGCTACTATATACTTTTACTCCTCTGTAGCTGTAACTGCAATACGGTTACAGCTAAAGTTTCTCTAAGTAACTCTACAAATCATATGATTACCTTATACATTATGATGCATTATTAAATATTGCAACTACCCAACCCAAGTGTATGAAATAGTTTAAATTAGCGTCACTTCTAAAACACTATGCTCACTCATCATTCAAAGTAAGCCAATAGTATAATATATACCAGTACAACACTCACAGGGACTACTTTCTATAATCATTCACTTTTACTTTGATGAAAATACTTTTAATTAAAGGTCCAGTGTGTAACATTTCAGAGTATATATCGTCAGAAATGTAATATAATATAATAATATAATATAGTGTGTGTATAGTGTGTGAATTGTGTTTTTGTTACCTTAGAATGAGTTGTTTTTATCTTTAAATGCCACGGGTCGCCTTCCGTGGGGTCCACCATGTTGAACCACCATGTTTCTACAGTAGCCCAGAACTTTTATCTCTTTTTTTCTTTTTTTTGTCTCTGTGGATGTTTGTGTCCTCCGATAACAGCTTTATTTTAATTTTTATTATATGTCCAGGGTCTAAATGAGTCCTTTGGTTAGTTACACATATTAAAGGTTCAGTTCACCTAAATTACAACAGACATCCATTCATCCTGCAGGCCCACCACTCATGGGAGACCCCACTGGGGTCGGATGCAATGTCAAATGGGTGGCAGTGAAGGCCAAGGGCCACGACAGACCAGACCCAGGTAGCAGAAGCTGGCTTTTAGGGAGGTCACAGGGCAGACCGAGGACCAGGTGGAGAGATTATATCTCCACACTGGCCTGGGTTCGCCTCGGGATCCCCCAGTCAGAGTTGGCCGATGTGGCCAGGGAAAGGGAAGTTTGGGGTCCTTTGCTGGACTTGCTACCCCTGCGACCCGACCTGGATGATGCGGATGAAGATGATGATGATTCGGACTTATGTCTACTGGTATCACAGAGAGTTGGTAAGATTTGTCTGGGAATCTTTTGCGAATGGAAGTGAATATAATTTAATTTGGTTTCTCTGTAAAATCCTCAGTGCTCACTAACAAAATATACATTTTTGTAATTTGGGTAAACTGACCATTTAATTTGCATTGTCTTTGTTTAAAGGTATATGGATTCTTAAAGTCCCAGTTCTCATGCGCCCTCCAGTATGAATTCATTGTCACTTCTGTATTTCACTTAAAGGACCAGTGTGAAGGATTTGGTGCCATCTAGTGTTTGCAGATTGCAACACCACTTGTCTGTTTTGTTTGACGACCTGGGTATGAGAATGGGCTGTGGAGTGTGTATGAGAAACTATGGTGGCCACGAAACTTGCAAAAACCTCAAAAGGCCTTTAAATAGAGCCAGTGTTTGGTTTGTCCATGGTGGTTCAACATAGTGGACTATAGTGGAAGGCAACCTGCATTGTATGTAGATAAAAACGGCTCATTCTAAGGTAACAAAAACACAATGATTTTAATATTCAGGTGATTATACACTAATAAAAACATACCTATGAATATTATATTCAAGATCCTCCTAAATGTTAAACACATGCTTGTGTTTATATTTTATTTCGTATAAAAGGATTTTTTAATTCACCCAGGAGGCTCAGTTTGGCAAGAAAGCTGCAGATTTGTATGCTCACCCTCACACTGATGCAGTCTCAGCATCAAGGGAACGACTCTTGCTCCATCTAGTGTTTAACTGTAGTCAGTGAAACAAAACATACAGTAAAGCATCTTCTGCAAGGTGGCCATATACTTTACCAAGGCGAGCAAATGTAACTTATACTGGTACAAAATGTGGTCTACGAGATATGAGCCCAATAGAAAACAAAAATAAAATCACATTACTTTTAACGTGGATTTAGCATAGCCATTACTGACTCGTTTATTGATTTGGATCCCCATTAGCTGTTACCAGAGCAACAGATACTCTTCCCGGGGTCCACGGAAAAACAAATTAGTGAAACAATCGCATGTGATTATGTAAATAAAAGTAAGTGAAAGTGATATACATATGCACATATACACATACCTACATATAAAATAGGTAATAAAATTAAATAAAATGAGGAGCAGTAATTCATTTGTAATATAATCAGCAATTTGCTTCAAAAAAAGAAAACAACCTGAAATGAAACCTTTGCAGTGAAAGATGAAACCTAGTCAGCTTTTTTTTTTTACATCCAGCTGACAGGCGACGATTGACAGTTCATTATCTTCTTGGTAAAATCAGTATAACGTAAATTCTCATCTATAAAACATCTATAATAAATTATTGGAAGTATTTTTCCAAAAGCTTGACCAGATTTGATATCCTTGTTATGGTGGTTCAGTTTGGAAAATTAAATGTATGACTAGTGTTTACATGCAAAAGATGAAAATGTGTGATCAAAAGTTGCATCTTTCTAGATACAAGTTGCCCAAAGGCATAATAGCCTAACTGGTTTAGAGCGGGGCTGTTAATTAAGCTTGTATTCTTTATCCTGGAATAACTTGAGTCCATTCTTTGAGCCTCAATCTCTCGATCATTTACAACAGAAATAGTCCATGCTTAACAGTTAACTCCCTGTTCTGTCTCTTCGCTGAGAGAATAAAAGATGTTTGTTGTCAATAATCTTTTCATCAGACCTTGTGACCATCTAAAATTTGATTCATTCATGAAGTCACAGTTGAATTTGAGCAGTTACTTGGCCAAGGAAAGTGACACAAGCTTTGCCAAAAAAAAACAAAAAAAGAGTGCTTCTTCATTAACTTGGCCCTAGGAAATCTTTTCCTGTTGGATTAGTTTGTTGAGCTGACATGTTCTTTAGTTGCGACCATGCTGGTTTTTTCAAGGTGACCCTGGGCAGTTGTTGGGCGAATATATGTCCCGGCATGTTGTTTCAGAAGCCTGATCACTCCACTATGACCGAGGGCACAGAGGGAGGAGATAAGAGGTGGAGGTGGTGGGTTAAAGGTTTCATTTCATATGAGCTACCATTTTAAAGGAGCAGTCACAAAACATGGACAGGAAGACAGGGCCTGTTCCTCTAAACTGTCATGCATTTCCAGTGAAAGCAACATGTGACCTGACTAAACAGACCCTTGTTTAACCCCTCACCCCCCCCTCCCCATTCCCTCTCCTCCCCTGTCACACCCCTATGGTTGGGTGGGTGTTGTCAGGCTCTCAGCCAATGACATGACAGTGTTCACCCTTTGAAACACAACCATGATAAATCAGTGTGTGTCAGTGGAAGGAGGAAAACACTGAGAGGTGGAGATAGGGGGATGATATGATTAAAGATAAACAGGAAGCACACAAGCAGGATAGTTTAGATAGATAGATACTGGTGGGGTGATGGAGGAGAGATTGTGTTCTAACAATACTAGTTGTTTCATGCAGCTATTTTTTATTTAATCATTAATTGCCTTTTATTGGGCATTGCTTTATTGCAGAATTAATATAAAAGTATATATAGATAAAGAAAAGTGGAAAGGACAGAGTTGAACTGACCTCTGGTGCAGAGCTCACGGTTCAAAGTTCATCTGTTTTACAGGTTTGTTGCTTGGTGCACAAGCAGGCACACACATTAGAGCCACTTTAAGAACCTCTTAAAGGATTTTTGCATGATTGAGGGAATTCAACATGCTTCAAATAAGGTAAAGACATGCATTATACAAAAATAATAGAAGGAGATGTAGAAAGAGGAAAATAAAGGTGCATTTGAGAAATTAATCAAATGTGCAGGAAAACAGGTTAAAGTTGACTTAAAGCAATACTTGTATACTCAGAAATTCACACAGTTGCCACTGTTGCTTTGCTCGGTAACTTCACTGCTAGATGCCACTAAATTATTTGAAAAATGTTGAACCTATCCTTTAACATAAAACATTTCCTGACCATTCTGGACCAGATTGATGGTTAATTGTCACATAATTGTTACATGAAAACCTTGTTCCTACATGAAAAACTGTAAGATTTCAAATAATGTTGGTTG